ATCGCAACTTAGGTCTTATACTGCGCAGGGTAGGTAAATTTGCCGAAATGAGTGAGTGAGGCAGTATATTTAGTAAAATAAATTATTACAAGACTGCTAAAACACCGAAAATTTCCGGATGTCTACGCCGAAAAAATAATTATTATTACTAAACTAAAGAAAATTAAAGTGCCATTTACATTCCATGGCTTCCCACATGATAGATGAGAGATTAAAAAATAGATTGAGTTAAACAATTAATATCTTACTTTGCACTTAAAACTTTTTTTGTAACATTATTTACCATAGATTATAAAGAAAACTGTGTCATTTTATTTTGTTATCACTTTGTTTGTGTGTCGTGCCGTTTGAATTAAGCTATGTAACATTGTTAACATTTTTCATGTAAGTGAATTATAATTATATTGAGCAATAAATATCTTAAACCACAAGCGAATATTGGAATCATAATTCGTGTCGTAGTTATCAACTTAGTAGCGAGCGTATCATTAAAGAAGTAAATAGTGATCGTGTGTGTACGAGTCAATGCAAAAGCATGCATTGACTCGTACACACACGATCTTTGTTGCCCATAAATTTCAATTTCGGATATTTTTAAATAAATGTAGAAGCCTTATTTACGCGTATTTTTCAAAACTGCAAAAAGCGTATATCAGTATTTATATTTTTAAACCTAATTATTAAATTTTGCTGGTCTTTGAAAAATAACCCTGTATATAGAGATAGAGGTATGAAGATATATTCTTCCTTACTTTAATTAATCAAAAATTGATTGAAAAGGTTCGCTTGTATATCGATATAACAGTTATTTTCTGTAAAAATACTGTTTTAATCAAATATTTTGCGACCATAGCTAAAAAGTGCGTATATCTCCGTATTAGTACACGTAACTCCACAAACAAAAGATTTTTATAGTTTATAATAATTTATTGTTGCTCAGCGGTGGGGCCGTGCCTGGTTGGTCTAATGGTCGTACGCACGACTGCTGATTAAATGGGTTCGAATCCCAGGTCGAGCCAAAATCAGTTATTGAGTTTTTCTGTTAAGAAATAGGGGTAGACAAAATTATATATTTTTATAGTTAATAAAATAAAATCATTTGTGAATCAAGTTCAAACAACAATTTTTATAATTATAAATTAAATAATTATTTGTGTCTTTCCAAATCACAAAAATGAATACTTTTATACGTGGTAGAGCCATGCTGCAGCTATATTAGTAGTACAGTTGTAGCACGAGTGGGTCGGCTCGACCGGGGAAGGACCACGCTCTCACAGAATACCAGCGTAAAATGGCGGCATAATACTGCTGTGTTTCGTATGGTGCGTGTAGAGATCCGGAGACACATTTTACTGGAAAAGAGGCATTCCATCTTAGTCCTCACGGGTGACAACGCATTTGCATTTTGATTCGTAGTCGAGGATAGATGTAGATGTCTATGGGGCACAGCATCCACTTACCATCAGGTGGACTGTGTGCTCGTTTGTCACCCTATCCTATAAAAAAAATTACAACAATCACAAAGCTTTTTACTTTTGGATCAATCGTAATAAATGTTAAGTGAACAATCAATCTGTTTAAAATGTTCTGGTTGCTATTTTACACGAGTTCAAAGTACAATGATATGATTTTTTAAAATCATTTTCTCAATTACCTACAATTGTATTAAGTAATTTATTTTTTCCAAAACTTTATCATGAGTATAATATTAATGATTTGCCTTACTCATAAAATCGATGTAGATTTAGGAAGTGCTTGAGGTTGCTCTCTCTCCTTTTTCACTAAATGATAATAGAAAGAGGCAGGTAAACATAAAATTAATACTTAATTTGAATAAACCCCGAGCTTCCGGCTTGAGGTTTGATCCCAGCGGCGCCAATTAAAATATTAATTGTAGATTTACCACGTGCGGTGAAGGAAAAAATCGTGAGGGAACCGTCAAATATATCTCTATTTACGTCAAGTCCGCCAAAACGCCTTTGGGCAGCCCCAATCCTGCTTTTCCTAATCCTAAGACCCTCTAGGAAATAAAAGGAGTCCTATGCACAGCAATGGGACGTGTAATAAGTTATACTAAATAAACTATAAAATAACTATTAAATAAACGATAATTAATGGTTTTAAATAAACGATAGTTACTGATTATATGTAAAGCCGTTATTGATACGTGACTACACACTGATTAAAAGAATTTTCACTTTTTTAATTTTATATTTCACCAGCTGGTATATGGCGCGTTGCTGCCGCGTAAGAAATAATAGTGGAAATATCGTTTTAAATTTGGAACAGTTATATTGCTTTACTAGGAATGGATAACACAATCACTGAAATTGTATGATGTATAACTTTCAAACAAATTGTCGGTACGATACGCGCGTCATCAACTGTAAGTTAATTGTACTATGCCTATAACCTTCCCGCTAGTGCGAGCAATAAGTTGACAAAGTTTTACCGCAATCGGATGAACGGTATGGCAGCGCATAAAATACGAACAAACAAATATTAATTTTTATATATTTGATATAAAAATATATATCTCACGTGAAACCGACGCTCCGGGAAGTCTGCAATCTGAAAACCATATTCAGTAACGCTTCCGGTGTTACCTACATCAGGTTTGATAAACTACCGATGCCTATTAATAGCTACCGATATTAAAGATGCTTCGTGAGACTATTGAGATTAAAAAAGGTAATATTTCTTATATAAGCAAGTTATCCCATGATATTTTCCTTCACTATATTAAAAAATTTCGAGTACATGAGACAGAAATGAGAAGAGGTCCGTGCTAGGCAGTGGGTCAATATTAAGTGCTGGCTTCGAAGCAGATGGTATCAAGGCTGGGTGCTACCATCTGCTTGGGATCCTATAATTAATAAAATAAAATCTAAACCCAAGCACACCCTAACAAGTTAGTACTAAAATATTGAAGTTTGTCCGCTCTTAATTTATAAATAAAAGCCGCATGGGTGCTGCAGTTAGTCTAAACGATGAAAGTTTAAATTATTCATACCATAGAATAGAACTTCGTTTAAATTAGTTGTATACAACATTTATTAGAATCGTTTATAGACATTTACATATATTAAAAACTAGCTGTTCCCCGCGACTTCGTTCGCGTGTTAGGGTTTTTATGTTTCTGCGCGGAACCATGATTCTTTTTCTAAAATAAAAGTAGCCTATGTTACTCCTTATGAAATCAGCTATCTGCCAGTGAAAGTCCCGTCAAAATCGGTCCAGCCGTTTCGGAGATTACCCGGAACAAACAGACAGACAGACAGACAGACAAAAATTTTAAAAATTGTATTTTAGTTATAGGTATCGTATTTACTTTCATATGCATTTAGTAAAAAACTGTAATTTTGACATTACAAACAGACACTTCAATTTTATTTATTTGTATAGATATACAATAAAAATTACAGCTTACCATCATGTATGTTACACAATTAACCACACAAAACAAATCAGAAATAGCTTGGTAGCGATCACCACATTTAAAGGGGTTACCATAATCAATATCATCCATAAAGTCCTTAATATTATAATAACCCTTTTTATACAAACTTTGGTTAAAAAAGTTTATGAACTTTGAGCAGATCAAATTTTGTATATTTTCTGGGATTTTGTTGTAAAAGCGTAGGTATACATCGCTCCAAGAACGAATTACTGACTCGGTGGAGTCGAGTAACTGGTACTACTAGCTTGTATCTGTTCCTAGTATTTACAGAATGAACTTATTTTTATATAACTACTTTTATTTTTATGTACGTACATTACATTTTCATAAATGTATTGAGAGGCCAAAGGTAATATATTAATTTCCTTAATTTTTGTCGAAGCGACTCTTTAGGTTTCAAATCATAGATTGCTCTTATGGTCTTCTTCTGTAAAACAAATATAATTTCAGTGTCAGCCGCGTGTCCCCATAGCAAAATACCATACGACATTATGCTATGGCAATAGCTAAAGTAAACAAGTCTAGCTATTTCAACACTGTTAAGATTTCTAATCTTTTTTACAGAATATGTTGCAGAACTAAATCTGCTTCCTAATTTTAATATATCGGGCTCCATTAAAACTTCGCTTCTAGTGTTATTCCAAGAAAAATGGTGGTATCTACAAGACTCGGATCCTCCCCATTTAATTTAAATTATTATTTAAATGTTTGACATTTGGATTCATGAATTTCATACATTTCGTTTTAATGCCATTTAAATGCAAGTTATTAACATAAAACCAATTTACTAATTTAGATATCGTATTATTTACTTCATCATCTAACATATAAAATTCTCGTGTCGCGGTGTTTGTTACCAAACTCCTCCGAAACGGTTGAACCGATTTGTATGAAATTTTGTGTGCATATCGGGTAGGTCTGAGAATCGACGAACATCTATTTTTCAAACCCCTAAATGATAAGGGTGACCCACCCCTAAATATTTTTTTTATTATTGAAAAAAATATTTTATTATGATTTAGCATAAAAAATACATAAAATTTCAAATTTTCACCTTTCTACGATCAGCCCCTGTTTTTTAATCGCGATTTTTAAAACTAAAAAATATTTCCTAGAAATAATGTATATGGCAAAACAACGTTTGCCGGGTCAGCTAGTATTTTAATAATTGTCGTTTTAATTTAAAAATTAATGAAGTGTCATCAGCAAATAATACTATATTATGGTTATCCCCGACTATGTGTGCTTACTTTGTGTTGCCTTACTCCATATTCCGGTCTTTTTTCACGTAATGCTCGATTTAAATCGATCATTTGCTGTTGGTAACGATCAATGTTAACGGTTTCACTAGGTTTCAGCAGCTCAAAAATTATTACACCCTTTTGATCCCACCAAACACACAGCATTGTCTTCTTTCCAAAGCGATTTGGTCTTGCAGTGGATGTCGATGGTTCGCCTGGATTCACCCATGATTTAGGATTCTCGAAATATATCAATTTTTAAATCACCTGTCACGATTAGCTATTTCAGAAATGGTTTTTCAATTTTCTTTCTGCCTTTCATTCAGTTCGTGCGGAACCCATTTTCCCACTTTTTGAACCTTTCCCATAGCTTTTACACGAATGGGGACGGCTTCCTGCGTCATATTCAACTGATTCGCGAGTTCTTGTAGAGTTCGAGTACCATCTTCATCCAATAAGACTTGCAATTCATCGTCTGTGAAAATTTTCGGTGGTTTCCCACGCTCTTCGTTTTTCACGTCAAAATCACCACTATTGAACTTTTTAAACCACTCGAAATACCAAGTTTTACCAAGAGAATATTTACCGTAAGCTTTAATAAGCATCCGATGTGATTCTGCGTCAGTTGTCCTCAAATGATACCAGAAAACCAATTCTGTCCGTAAATCGTAGTTCGCATGCGCAAAAATCGACATGTTTAAGGTTAGAGAAAAATATACTGGTTTATGGAAATTGGGTTGTTGTGTGTTGAAAATTTTCATCAGCTGTTAGAGGCAGATGTTGGCGCTGAAGAAGCGGTCTTATGGTCCCTAAGCTGATGGCTAAAACCATCTATAAAGAAATTCCGCTTTCATACCTCTATACCTGGTATAGGTTGAAGAACCAATAATCGATGGGAAAAAAGGTTCTCGAATAGCACCCTCGTACCTTTAGGCAAAGTGTAAGGCGACCTCCCACTAGATGGAGTGAAGAACTGGTAAGACATGCAGGAAGTAAGTCGATGGATGCAGGTGGCTCAAGACCGTGCTTTATGGCATTCCTTGGGGGAGACCTATACTCAGCAGTGGACTTGTGAAGGTCTGTAATGATGATAATTATGATGAAGACTGTGTGACGACTATTATAAATTATTGTTCTGTACTGACTCCCTTACTCTCCCAGACTGTATCCCACTGTCTTCTTGTTCTGCAACATATCTCTCTTTCTCTTTCAATCTGTCTCTGTCTCTCAATTATCATTTGTTTCCAATTTACTACCCGCCTACTACAGATTTGTTAAAAATGACATCATTTGACATTTTTTTATTTTCATATGTCGTAGAAATAAGTACTTATGTTTCATTTTATTTTATTTCTTTATTTCTCTCTCTCTCTCTCTCTCTCTCTCTCTCTCTCTCTCCCTCTCTCTTGATTTTTACCGTGGGGTGTTTATAAGCTAATGTTTCGGTTAAGAGAAAATCGTTTCAGAGAAAAGACGATTGCAATATGCTAACTTAACCCTTTCGCTGTCCCGTGTACTACATATAGGTCATTGCTATTGTCTTACTATTGTATCTGTAAACCGGACAGTGAACGTGTTAACATATGAGAAACTAAACATGATACAGGGACTAAGCCTTCGCTGTAAATTTCATTCGTTTGAGTTCTAGTTTTTAAACTTATAACCGTAAAAATAAAAGGCCGGCAACGCATCTGCAATTCCCCTGGTGTTGCCGTTGTTCATGGGCGGCGGTAGTTACTTACCATCAGGTGAGCCGTATGCTCGTTTGCCCCCTCTCCTATAAAAAAAAAATATTTTTCGATCATATGAAAGGCGTGTTATTTAATTACAAATAAAGGATCTGAATAAAAATGTAAAAAATTTAAAAGTTAAATTAAACACGGTGAAATCCGTAAAAATTAATTCCACAAATTCTTGTAAAAGAAGTACGATTCATACCAACTATGGTTCATTAGCCTTATAAAATATTTAGAGATATAAATATGCCCTGTTTTTTTTATAGAATAAGGATGACAATCGGGCACCCTGAGCTATGGCCCATATACATCCTCGTCTATCCGCGATTAAAAATAAAAATGCAGATGCGTTTTCACCCCGGACCCAGGACTACAATAGAATGCCCCGTTTTCATTAAAAAGGTTCTAGGAGTGTAGTGGTGGCGTCTAAGAATTCGGTATCCCATATCATCCCGTGGGTATCGCAGGAGGAGAGAGAGTGAAACTGAAACAGGAGATGGGCAACAACTTCTTCTTTGTAACAACTCAAAATTATAAAAATTTGCGGCGAACCTGCCTCCAAAGCCTGGTAACTAAAGCAAAATCGCCCTATAAGACAATCTATGCTCCATATTCACCAGTGGACTTTTATAGGCTTTAATGGATAAAGAGAGAGCCATGGTAGCTCAGATGGTTAGCACTCGCTGTAAATTTAACAGAACGTGATCATCCGAGTTTGATCCCCGCCGGCACCAATGAAATTGTTAATTGCAATTATAAGTGCCGGTTTACCACGTGCTAGGTGGTGAAGGAGAACATCGTGAGAAAACCTGCATGTCTGAAAAATTTTTTCGATGAGATGTGAAGTTCGCCAACACACATTGGGGCAGAGGCAGACATTTCTTTGCCCTAAAACTCTCTCAGAAATGAGGGAAGGCCTGTGCCCAGCAGTGGGGTGTATATAGGCTGTAACTTAAACTTTAATGGATAAATGGATGGTAATGAGACGCTTGTTGGTCATGCACACGGTGCGCCCAACTGAGGCGAGACACTAGCGATGATGAATTACTAACAAAATTCATCCAAAAATCCAGTACCCAAATTTCACTAAACACTAATTGGAAAACATTATTTGGCATTTTTATCAACCGATTGAGACCATGTTTTCGTGATTTTTGAAACCGAAAGCAGAGACCGAGAATAAAAAGAATTCTCGGCCAAGAGCGGAATCGCGACCGAGAATTTCATAAGTGCTTATAAATACAGGAAAGATAACAAGTGGTAAAATTAAAAATGTTGTACAGACTTCAATATAAATTATTAAGGATAACTTAAAAACGCAGACCTTGATAAAATTTATGTGGGACCACATGAGAAGCACCAGCTTCCAAATAAAAAAAGAAGCATCGATATCGGTTCACCGAGAAAAAAGTTATGAGGTAACACACATAAAAAAAGCGTACAGTCGATTTGAGTACCTCCCCCTTTTTGAAGTCGGTTAAAAACAAAACTACAAAATATTTTTTTATATAGAAACAGGGTGACAAACGACCACACAGTCGACCTGATGGTAAGTGGTTGCTGAGGCCCATAGACATCTACATCAATCCTCAATAAAGAATCAAAATGCAGATGCGTTGTCACCCATAAGGACTAAGATGGAATGCTTCTTTTCCATTAAAAAGGGTCTCCGGTTCTCTACACTCACTATACGAAACACAGCAGCATTAAGCTGTTATTTTACAATGGTATTCTGTGAGAGCGTGGTCCTTCCCCGGTCATGTCGACCCATTCGTGCTACAACTATACTATAAATATAGTTACAGCTTGGCTCTACCACGTAAAATGTATATGTAGAAAAATGTTCACTTATTTCTCAGTAAAACCAGTACTTATACTTATACTTATCTTCACGCACAATCCCTGACGGGGTAGCCAGAGAGAACAGATCGCCAAGTGTCACGATCCTTACAAACCTCTTTCGCTTCTTTCAGATTCATTATCTTCTTCATGCATGCACGTCTAGGTATCCGAGTACTCTTGACCCTACCCTCTTCGAGCAATTTGGAAGTTAGTCTCGGTCTACCTCGACACCTTTTAATATTAACTTTCGCGCTATATATTTTCTTCACCATTCGGTCTTCACTCATTCGCTCAACGTGCCCAAACCACCGAAGCACGCCTTTATCAATTTTTGTGATAAGGTCATCTTTCAAACCTGCCATATTTAAAACTAGTAATCAGAATTAAATAGTTGACTTTGTAATGATCGTGTAGAAAAGTGAACTAAAACAGAAGATGGGCTGATGGGATAGTAAGAAACTGCGGTTGCCAACCCGCCTGCGAAGTGTTGCAACTATGGCAAAATCTTCCCTATAACACAATCTATTGGGGAGGCCTATGTTCAGCGGTGGACTTTTATAGGCTGTAACACAGAATAATTAATAGTACTCAATAAAAAGTTAAAAAATAAGAAAAACTACGTAGCTGTAATGAAATGGCAATAATAATGTACTCCAGACCGCATTTCGATCACGGCGGCCAGTCCCAACTCTATTCCCTCGCTCCCAAACTCCGATGAGACGGTAAACCGACACGACCGGAGAGAGATCAGGCGCAGCACCAACGGTTTTACGTGCTTTCCGAGGCACGGGGTGAGACACCGCCAACTAACTGACTCCGGGCAACTACTGAGTGTTTCTTGATGGAAAAACTCAATAACTGTTTATTTTTTGGCCCGACCCGGGATCTGTACCCGCGACCTCGTGATCAGCAGTCGCACTATTACAACCACTAGACCTACGAGACAGTCAAAATGTAAAAAAAATGAAATGGTAATGGATGTAAGTAATAGCAATTTGTGCAATTTGTGTCTTTTATCGTATAATTGTCGAGCTTTACCAAAGAAATACTCACATAGCATCTTCGTACAACTACAAACATTCATGAAATTTAAAAACAACGTATAAGAGTCAGGGATCGAACCAATTCTTTTTTTTATAGGATAGGGTGACAAACGAGCACACAGTCCACCTGATGGTAAGTGGTTGCTGTTACCCATAGACATCTACATCTATCCTCATTTGCGAATCAAAATGCGTTGTCATCCGTAAGGACTAAGATGGAATGCCTCGTTTCCAGTAAAAAGGGTCTCCGGTTCTCTACACTCACCATACTAAACACAGCAGTGTTAAGCTGATATTTTCTTGTGTGTCTCTCCCTGGTCTAGCCGATCCATTCGTGCTACAACTATACTACCAATATAACTGCAGCGTGGCTCTACCACGTGTAAATTCAAACGTAAAAATTAAAAGCCTGTAGTTTTTAGTTTGGTACGCGTTCCATTTTAAGTTAAATGGTATTATAATTATTTTTAAATATATAAAGTAATACGATTCTATGACTTCATTATACTGTGTAGAGGCGGTGTAAGAATATTCACTGCCCCATGTAGTCCTGTGGGTGTCGTATGAGACAACATAGAGAAATAAAACAGGAGATAGGCATCACCATCTTCCTGATAACCAAACAATGAAAACGGGAGATGAAACTAAGACCGAGATCGAGACAGAAACTTAATTTTAAGCCTAAAATGATAGACTGAGACCGCGGGCGAGATGAGATGATGGCATCTTAATTCTTATCAGTGCATGGTAGTACTACCAGTTACTTGACTCCCCAGAGTTCATATAATTCATTCATAAGTAAATGCTTCTACACCAAAATCCAAATATATACATGGTCTGTCTATCACCAAGTTTTTTTTTTTTTACTTATCGAAGTCTGTTAAGAAAAGGTTTATTATAATATTAATGAATACATGGTTGGTAATAATCCTTGAGAATAAAATATGCATTGTTTTTCAAAATGTTTTTTTTTGTTTTTTAAAATAAAGCCCCGCTGATATTATTGCAGGTTCTTTAGGTTGTCGTGGGACAAAAAAATTTCCACACCAGTTGTAGATGCAAAATAACGTGTAT